CGTATAATAGTATAATAGTATAGGCAGTTGTTATTGAATTGTTCACTTCCTTTTTTTATACTAAATTAATATTAAGACATTTTTGTCTTCAGTTCAAAGTATATGTAGCTACTAGTTACCTAATATATAAACATCAAACTTCATAATCATAACATACGTTCTGATAAATTATTCATACACCACATTTGTATGCACAATTATTACGATTAACAAATGAAACAAAATGTAATTTATGTGTTATAAAGCTTATACAATGAAAAACTTATACTTAAAATGTGTATAAACTATTTCAATCAATCATGACGTGTTTATTTGATTGATATATTATTAAAAGTKTGCATTATAGTAGTACCATATGTTATTTCTTGGTAAAAAAAGAACAATCTCTATAATAATAGTATTTGAAAACTTAAAACTATGATTTACAACTATTTGTCAACACTAATTGTTTTCATTATAAAACAGTATAGAAATAAAGCTTACAGATTTGTTTTAGAGAAATATTTTGCATAAAATAATTTGTTAGTTATAAAATATATTATATAACAAATCATAAGATCGTAAAAATAATTAATTTTATATGTGCTACTTTTACGTTTATTATAAAAACAATAATTATATATTGTGAGAGAAAAAACCGTTGATTTAAAACATAATGGAGTGATTTAGTGACCARATTGCATGTTGGGCTAAAATTAAGTTTAAATGAATTAAGAGAAGTGTCGAACAGGTATACATTATAATATATGACGCGCGCACTCATAAACGTTGTTATACGCTCTTACTCGAAGTTATAATATGTAATAATAAAATGCAATATTTTCGAATTTTAATGTGTATAATATTATATTATAATGTTACACACCTTTTTGTTTTATGTTTTATTAGCTGAAGTACCGGCGGCCATGCAACACGGGGTCCGTAGCTCGACTTCGGGGTCATTCGCCATCTCCAATTGTGCTATATTTACATTAATATATATTCTTTTGCAAATGTTAAGCTAAAATGGACTGGAAATTAGTGGGTCTTAACTAATATTATATAAATACTAAATATTAAATTATAATTTCCCATCATACTTACCTATAATAATAAAATTATACATTATGTCTTCAATGTAAATATTATGATAATTACAATATATTATAGTATTATAATGTGAAAAGTATCACTATCATATTATACTGATCGATGTGTATGAAACTATAAAGAAATACAGCGAAAAAAAAAATTATTATCAATTTGTTTCCGTACGTTTTTCAACATTTTATTTTGTACTGGTAAGTGTGAAATTTAGCTTTTAAAATATTTTAATTAAATTGTTCATGTTCTTAAATGTGAAAGAATTACTAATATTTATGTTTATTGATGTTTTGTGAACTATTCGTTTCAATAAATTCCAAAAAAGTGTTTTCTTAATTTTAATTCAATAAAGAATTTTTTTTT